AGCTGGTATCGCGCGAGGGGGCTTCCGTCTAACCAGGCCGGGCGCCGCCCCTGCCGCACGCCGTGCACACCGGCTTCAGTACCGGCCCCCGCGGCCCAGTGCCACGGAGTTGCGGACACGTTAGCAAGAGATTCGCAAGCATAGGAGGTCTACTACGGCTCCCACACACCTACCAAGCTCCTTTTAATGTTGTTCATCAATGTGCCCTAAACGCAAGGCCTACCAGCACTACAAAGGCAAACGACCTGAAGACTTAAGGGGCTAGAGCTGGCCCTTCACAAGGGCTACTTCCTACTGCTGCTGGCAGAGCTCTTGTGGAAGGCCCGGCTCATGCTTTTTCTTTCACTTAGCGAATACAATAAAATGAAATGTTCTTAGCTGTGGTACAGCTTTGTTATTACTACTATCTCAGTCTCCCTCTGTGCAGGCACCATGAATCTATTTCTAGGATGATAGTTATTTTATTTTACCAGCTAAGCAGTAAAAAAAACAAAAAAAAATTGGCTTTAGGTGAACTTTGGATAGTTCTTCCCCATTCTGGGATATTAAACCAATAGACAAAGATTATTGTGGCAAGCTTAACCCAACCCTTCAATTTCCAAACCCTTAAAATGTGTCCCTGTCTACAACTAATTTGAGTTATAAATCAAGTGATCAGCTGCCCCTCAAGAAGCTAAGAATTAACCATTCATTTTTGTTTTCTTCTTCTTGCAAAAGGATCAGCCACAGCAGTTTCTGTATAAAACAGACCTTTTAAATACACAATTGCTTCAACTATGCAAATACAATGTAAAATAGACATGAGATTTGCTTGGCCACATTTAGTATTTGAATGGTTGATCTACAAGAAAAATCCAGGTACTGCAGGAACTGGTATAAACAGATGGGATCAGGAGAAACTCAAGGTTACAGTACATCAGACTTTCAAACAACTCAGGCCGAGTCCCGGTCCAGTGCTCTTGTTGCTGGCGGTCCAGATACGAGAATGACAGTCTTCCAATAAGCAGAGATATCATCAGTGAGGCCACAGATGACTCAGAAGGCCAAACCATGATCCACATGTTCAGTAGTCCTAGCCCAGGGCTTTACCCTCTAGGTCACAATGCTTTCAAAAAAACCTAAAGTAATTCAAGTGTGTTCCTTTCGTTCAGTTTGCCCACTTAGAAAATTAAGATGTGCATGTACCTCCAGAGGGGAGGACTGATCACCTATGCTCAGAAAATGCATGGCGGATGCCAGGAACTAAGCATTTACTGTGAACAGATGTTTGTTAAGAGACCCAATGTGATAACTCAGGAGACTTCAATGCAGGTGGTGTCCTCTAAACCAACCAATACTGCCAAGTAAACAGGAACAACCTTATTCAGTTTAAATGCAGCAACTAGAACCATAAACCAGTGGACAGTATTTGGTGGATTGAGATAAATATGCAGCTGGTGGGTTTTTTTAAGCCCATCTTAGACTGATAGTCACCAAAGGCTGCATGAGGAAAAAAGTTTGAGACTTAGGTGGGAAGCTATAAACCTAATATATTCTTAGTAGGTGGGAAGCTATAAATGTTAGAATCCCAATTATCCTATTATTGGTCTTTTTGGGAAAAGGGGCTCAGAAAAGCAAAAATTGGTTTCTAAAGCAGGGTCTAAAAACCCAGCCTCAGTTGCAATGCGGCTGACACTAACTCTATATTTGCTTTTCTTAAGCATTTAGCCATTAAGACTGTAAGGGTTGGCATATTTGCTTCAAAATAAAAAGGGGTTATTTATAGCCCTGCACCACACCAGATCTTCTTAGGAGACAGAATAGCAACGGTGACACTCCTCATCCTCTCTCTACATGGGTATGCAATATTTCTCTCAGCCTTTGACTGGAATTTGGTTTGTTTTAAATAAAAGGAGGAGACAAATAAAATGCAAAACATTTATTGGAGTGTGTTGTACAAAAAAGTTTCCAGTCAAAAAAATGTATATTACAAATCATCAAGAGAGACAAACATTTGGCATGCATATTCTTAAAACAAAACAGAACCAAACCAAGTGTTTGAAATGATAAAGTCTAGATCATTTTATAGTTTTTATAAGCTTATATCAATTTCCATTGTTTTTAATATACTTCAATTTGCAGAACTTTTTCATAATTAAGAACCTCAGTAATCCACTTTAAAAGAAAAGCTCCATTTTACAAGTAACAGTCAAGATGGCCATTACCCTAGAACTGAAGCTAAACACATGTTGTGTTAAGAAGTCGAAGAAACTGTTGCGTTAAGTCAAAGGAGCCCAAAAAACCCCCATCACTGGTTCAAACATGACAGTGTTATTCTGTCCAAATGCAAAGCTTCTTAGCTTTGTTCAAAATAGCTTATTGCTTGCAATTTTAGTGTAATTACATGGCTACCTAAACCATTAGAATGTCAGTCCTACACAGGCTAGATCCAGGGCAATAATTAAATGAAGCAGATAATAGATTTAGCCTTGGAAGAATTAAGAGTCTTTATAACTTTTGAAGTGCTTTTTTTTTTTTTTTTTAATAATCCCTAAAAAGTCATACAGTGCATTGTGCTTCTTTGAATTATGTGATTCAAAATTAAAACATCTTTTTATTCTCTAGACCTTAGCATTTCAGGAAAGGCATTACATTTACAAATAATAATTGCATGTAAATATGGTCTTATATAAAAAAAAAATCACTGTAAAATTATTTTCAAGTGGTTTAAAGCTAAACATACTGAAGGGCAAATAAATTCCGTTTCCCAGGCCATTTTAGAAATTGGACAACAGAAAAAAATCTCCAGCACAATTTATTTCCACGTTCAGTGAAATCTATGCTTTGAAATGCAATTACTCTGTAACCTTCCACTCACTGGATTCCATACAACTGTTTTTCCCTTCCACTCAGAGGTTGGGAACAGTGGCAATGAAAGCCAGCATCCAGCATGGATATGCCTTTAATTTAAAGATTACTTTCAAAATGAGATGGGCAGACTAATAAAATGACTTAAGACAGACTAAGTGAAATAAGTGGCCAACAAGGCAAGCAAACTAACACTATCCTCCTCCCGTGAGAGAAGCCAGACCTGAAGAAGGGTATTTTCTGCTCAAAAGCTTGTCACACATCTCTCCCAACTATATGGCTGCCCCAATAAAAATAGCATAAAAAGAACCCTTGCTTCTAACATTTCCTGGACCATCATGGCTACAATACCACTCCAACCCTACTTCTACTAGCAAAGAGGAAGGCAGAATACGAGAGAGGATACTTTGAGCTCTTGTGAGAAAAAGATGCCTAAAAGCCTCTCCTTTACTGGCCCCCCATCAGGTGTCAGGAAGGGACTTTACACAGCAATACAAAGTTTTAAATATTATTTTACATGTATAAAGAATATTCAAATCCCCATCTTAACTCATTCTGTGGGTTCCTGTACTTTCTCTTTTAGCTGGACTGGATATGGTTTGTCCTGGTGCTCATCACTGCAGGGATGAAGTCAGGAAGGCCAAAGTGCAACTGGAGTTGCAGCTAACAAGGGACCTGAAGGGTAACAAGAAGGGTTTCTACAAGTATGTCAGTAGCAAGAGGAGAATCAGGGAAAGTGTGGGTCCCTTACTGAATGCGGGAGGCAACCTTGTGACAGAGGATGCAGAAAAGGCTGAAGTGCTCAATGCCTTTTTCACCTCAGTCTTCAAGCAAGGTCAGCTCCGAGACGACTGCACCAGGCAGCACAATTTGGGGAGGAGGTGAGCAGGCAACAGTGGCGAAATAACAGATTAGGGACTATTTAGAAAAGCTGCACATATACAGGTCCATGGGGCCGGATGGGATGCACCCAAGCATGCTGAGGGAGTTGGCCGATGTGATTGCAGAGCCACTGGCCATCAACTTTGAAAATTCATGGCGATTAGGAGAGGCCCTGGATAACTGGAAAAGGGCAAATATAATGCCCATATTTAAAAAAAGGGAAAAAGGAGGACCCAGGGAACTACAGACCAGTCAGCCTCACCTCAGTCCCCGGAGCAGATCCTCAAGGAATCCATATTAAAGTACTTGGAGGAGAAGGTGATTAGGACCAGTCAGCATGGATTCACCAAGGGCAATCTGATTGCCTTCTATGACAAGGTGACTGGCTTTGTGGATGCAGGGGAAACCTGAAGATGTGATATACCTTGATTTTAGCAAGGCTTTTCATATGGTCTCCCACAGCATTCTTCCAGGCAAGCTAAGGAAGTATGGGCTGGATGAATGGACTGTAAGGTGGATAAAAAAACTGGAGCATCAGGCTCAGAGACTAGTAATCAATGGCTCCATGTCTAGTTGGTAGCCAGAATCAAGTGGAGTGCCCCAGGGGTTGGTCCTGGGGCCGGTTTTGTTCAATGTCTTCATCAACAACCTGGAATATGGCATAGACTGCACCCACAGCAAGTCTGTAGATGACAAGGCTGAGGGGAGTGGCAGATACACTGGAGTGTAGGGCCAGGATTCAGAGTGACCTAGACAAATTGGAGGATTGGGCCAAAAGAAATCTCATGCGGTCCAACAAGGACAAGTGCAAAGTCCTGCATTTAGGACAGAATAATCCCATGTACTGGTACAGGCTGGGGGCTGGCTGGCTCGGCAGCAGCTCTGCAGAAAAAGACCTCAGGGTTACAGTGGACAATAAGCTGAATATGAGCCAACAGTGTGCCCTTGTTGTAAAGAAACCTAATGGCATCCTGGGCTGCATCAGCAGGAGTATTGACAGCAGGTCAAGGGAAGTGATAATTCCCCTCTATTCAGCACTAGGAAACTGAATGGCATAATTATTCTGTTATAGCTGTGGTGGTATAACTCCATCAAGAGGATGAAGCTAAACTGTTGTCAGTGGGGGCAGATGACAGAACAAGGAGCAACAGTCTGAAGTTGCAGCAAGGGAAGTTTAGGTTAGATATTAGGAATAAATTTCTCACTAGGAGGGTAGTAAGACACTGAAACAGGTTACCCAGAGAGGTTGTGGAATCTCCATCCATGGAGGTTTTCAAGACCCACCTAGACAAAGCTTTGGCTGGGATGATCTAGATGGGGATGGTCCTGCTTTGAGCAGGGGGCTGGACTAGATGACCTCCTGAGGTCCCTTCCAACCCTAAATTTTCTACGATTCTGAATCATACACGGAATTAAATTTCCCCTTCACAGTACTGTGCACTTCACATTGTAATCTCAATGCTAACTATACACAACAAACTAACCTGGCATTTATAGTCCTGGCTCTTAGAAGGCATTTTTTCCTGAGATTTTTTTTTTGGCTCCTACAGTGACTGCACATTTTGATGGCTAAGCAACCCAAGGTGACCTATAATTTGTTATAAACTCTTTTATGCTTATAGAAGCAAATCCAGAGTCCCTTGACAACCCAATAGTCAAACTGGACAAATATGCAGGAATGAGAAGGAATTAGACATTCTTAGAGGCTACTGCAGCCAATATGACCGAAGCAGTGCGCACAGCAAGAGGACAGGGGAGGGAGAGGTATGGAGGGACAGAGAAGCTGTATAGTTGCATTTTATCCTTGTATGTCACCATACATGAACTCCCTGATTAGACTTTTCATGCTCCTCTGTTGCCCTTCCCTTTGCTATCAGTGAATAAGAGCTAGTCTGCTCTGGGAAACTGAATGGCATAATTATTCTGTTACAGCTATGTTGGTATAACTCTGTGTTAACACAGGAGTAAAAGTCACTGGTAGTAATTATTCTGGGGAAAAAGTTACTTTTAATCTAAAACAGAATGTCTACATAGGGAGTTATACTAAAAATACTTATTCTGCTATAGTTATCCCAATTAAACTTAATGAACAGACAAGTCCTAAAATCATTCCTCCTCAAACCAGTTCTGACTTCTTCAGTTTCTGCTTGACATCAGCTATTGCTGCAGAAATACTGATGATCTGCCACACCTACCAAGAATGGCTCACCTGCAGGATCTAACAGGAGAGAAAGCCCCAGGATTGTTAAATTTTGAAAGAAAAAAATAAGTTTAATCTTGGAATGGTAAAAGGAACCATGAAAAGAAACACAAACAGTGCTGCTCTTGATTTAGTATAATGGAAGACGGTCCCAGTATGGAATGCCTATTTTAAGCTGATAAACATATCAGACTGAATGCTCAGCAAGTCAAACAAATGGGAAAGGCAGAAGGCAGGGCAGAGATGTGACCTTACAAACTAGCTAGTTAGTCTATAACTCTGCCCTGCCTTCTGCCTGAATTCAAGATTAACATGGCTTCCTCTCTCTAGAAATGGGAAAGGTGGTATGTACTGAAGAGATACCTACATTACGGCAAACAAGAATTAGAATAGTCATTTTACTGTGTCTTGCAAGCTACTATCAAGAACTACTACTTACATTTTAAGTAGCCTTCCAAAAACATTGTAGTGATTAGGTCACCTGAGCAGATACTTTTTTAGGTTAGCTGATTCGATTCAGCTTCTTCCACTATGCTCATCACTGTAGTACCCGTGTATCCATGTATCCAGATAACATACATATGGTACAACATATGGGACATGCTTATTCTGCATACACCTACTACAGGGTAGTGCTCACCATTCCAGGTTTACAAGCATTTGGCCCAAAAGCAAACCACAAGAAACAAGACACAATTACTATACAGTGTAGCTACTGGGAAAACCATGGCCCAGATTGTGCAAGACCTTTTCCAATTTAAGCTTTTTTCTAGCTACATTCCTTTACAAGGAATAGAGGCGAGTACATTTTTTTCAGCGAACTCGGCATATATACTTTTAGTATTCCAAGCTACATGGAGTTTAGAATAGTCTGACAAAACAGAACAAGCAACCTGATAACTGACCAATATAAACAAATCGAAAAAATGTAACATTTACATAAAAGTCACAGAAACTGTAAGCTAGAAAGGGAAATGAGAATCCAGTGACTGGAAGGTGCATTGTCAAAACACTTTCATTTTGATTGCATTCATTTGTATACAAACACATTAAAACATTTATTGATAATGGTATAGAACCAACTGAGAAAGTTTCAACAACTATATAATTTTACAGATAGGCATGATTACTATGAATTCAGTCATCTACTCAAGCAGAGTGGGAATATTTAAGAAAAATAACCAAATTCATGGACAAAGGCATTATTACCCTAAACATTAATTTTTTTCTTACATTATGAAAATTCATTATTAGTAATCCTATTTTAAGACAGCAATTCAAATACTTTTATTAGTATTCAAACCATGATAATTAAATCACTTTATCAAGGTGACCATTTTGAGAATAGCAGAAAGTCAGCACCTTTGTTTTTAAAATGACAATGTGAAATTTATAAATTTAAAAATCCCTCTCTCCCACTCTGCTTGCACTGCAGCAAAGTCATCATTTAAAACCTCTACACTGACCTCCTAGGTTATGTCTGTCAGTCTAAGTACTGTGCAGAGAACATAATGTCCAAAAGCCACCAAAATACCTAAATATTCTAACTTGCATTTTGAATGTAAACCAGTTGAATGGCAAGATCAGAGTTCAAGAGTGCAGGCAATACAAGAGTTTTATTCTAGCAAATGGTACCCAAATGACCAACTTGAAAAAATGTCCATTTATAATGTAGTCAGTACATTCTTTAAAGCAAGTCATGTATATTTCTTAGTGTAGAGGGTACACTACCCAGTGCTTCCGCTGGTCAAGAGTTACCTCTGGTGAAAACACAGGAGAGAAACCTAAAATTAGAGGAATGTGGCTAGATACAAAAAAAAAATTAAAATACAAGTAATATTGTTCTTTTAAACAATTATTATATTATCAACCAGTTGGGGGGGGGGGGGTTAGGACATTCCTCAGGCTAGATACATTTCTGTTGGAAATACTGCAAAATAATGTTGATATGCAACCCAAAAATTGTTTAATTAATTTTTAAAAAATCATAGAACATTTGCCATTTTCGAAATACTATGCCCAGCAAATATGACAATGTCCCTTTATCTACGACAGAAGTATGAATAAGCTTCATGTAGCAGTTATTTAAAAGGTTACTATTTATACATGATAGCTTATAAATATCCAAATATTTCTCATAGCCAAAAATATCATTATCCAAAAACAACTAAAAATAATTCTGTTTAATGTGAAACATTCAAATCATGATGTGCATCACAGCTACTGTGCATCAGGCTCAGACCTGCATTCACTATTTATCAGGGTCTCACTGTGACTGAAAGTCCAAATCCCCTTTAAAAAAGTTAGAGCTCTTTCCTTTAACTTCTTCATTACATTAAGACTGTACCTGCCCTAGAATAACTGGAATTCATTAGTCTCCACCACTACAGTGTTGACATGGTTCCATTGTTTTTTACCAGCACATGGTCTAGTTCTCTTTGCAGTGGGGCTAGATGCCATGGTCCCGAGTTAAGCCCCATCTACAAATCCAGTCTCTGGTGTTGCTTCTACAGCTGAAGTAATATCTGTGATACATTTTGTGTTATTTTCCTCACATACATAAAATTCTAGTTACTAAAAGGGCCTTATGATTTCTTAAATAACTACAGTGCTGAAGGAAGTACCCACTTTGGGTATTCTTTGGGACATATGTTCATATTTCCCTAAACTTCACTGGAAAACAAAAAAAGCATTTGTTAAATAATGATATATTTACCATGCACTCAATGAATTCTGTCCCATTTTAATTTAAAATTCTTTCTGCTGCAGATCTGTACATAAGACTTAAAAGACGTAGTATGGGGAGGGGAAGAACTATATTCCAATAGCAGTTTCAAAGAGGGAAAAAGAAATTGATTAAAAATTCTGGCAGTTTTTCATTAAAATTTTTCTATAAAATGTACCAAGGAGTAGAATTTTAAATAAATCAGATGATGCATATAAAAATAGTTTTCAGTGGCTCTGGAGGAAAAGAAAATAGCAAAAACACGAAGGAAAGAAAGGAGAATAATAGAAAATAATAATGGTTTTTCACATCATTGAACATCCTCTTGACGTGGTCCTGGGATCTCCCTGGAAGAAGACAGATATTAGTTAAAATACTAAAATGAAACCAGGCCCAAAGCTTCACAGGTGCTCTCTTGAATAGTTAAAAAGATATATGATTCACATGACCTGAAATAACATTTAACGCCCTTTACAATATTGTTAGTTGGCAGGGGGGGGGGCCTGGGGCAGCAGGTCAGGAGTGAGGGGCACTGGGTTGAGACCGGCCACTGACATTTACAAATGGGTCCTGCTACAAAAAAAGGTTGCAAACCACTGCTGTAAGTAATCACTACCAAACTGTAGCTACAATAACGGGAATAATACTACCTTTCCCTTATTTCTCAGAATACCCTCTTTGTGTATTGGAGAAGGATGCTGACCAACACCAGAATTAGTTCTGCAGCAGAGAGGCCAGAATAAGTGGGGGTCGTTCCTTAGCTCTCAATTCATATTGAGATGGAACTCAGGCTAGCGTCCAGGATTAAGGACAACAAAAAGTCCTTTTTCAAATACATTGGGAGCAAGAAGAGAGCACCAGGTAATGTAGGGCCCCTGCAAGACGCAAACGGTAATCTTGTGACTATGCCAGACAAGAAAGCTGATATTTTTAACAGTTTCTTTGCCTCTGTTTTCTTGAACAGGGACCAAGACATCCCACCTACCAGCGGTAAGGACAACCTTGCGGATAGCTCTGTCAGGCCTTTGGTCAGTGCAGATGTAGTTAAGAATCTTCTGGAAGGGCTAGACATTTTTAAATCTGCAGGTCCAGATGCCCTCCACCCAAGGGTGTTGAGGTAGCTGGCAGGGGTCATCACGGAGCCCTTGGCCCGGCTGTATGAGCATTCGTGGTCATCTGGCCAGGTGC